ATGCTGGTAGGTCCTGTCGGGCTGGCTGGCCCGCCTGAGCTGGGCCCCTCTGTCTACAGTTCCTCTTATCCTTGTGATCCTCCCACTTTCTCTTGTTCGTCTGCTGAGCTGACTGGGGTGGCTGTCTGGCGGCTGGCTGTCTGGTTGGTGGCTGGGCACGGGCATCTCTGAATGCACGCCTCAATCTGCGGAGCACGCTCAACAGTCTCGGCGTAGTCAAAGAAACCATTGCTGGTGATCAAGAGTCGGATGTTGCTCCTCAAACCATCGAGGAACTTTGTCACCTTCTTCTCCTCCGTATCAACAAGATACGAAGCAAAGGCACTCTTGCGAGCGAACTCGCGCTCGTACTCATCCACTGAACGCTCACCCTGCTGGAGAGCGGCAAACCCCCGTGCCATCCTCTGCTTGAAATGGCGAGGATAGAACTTGTCCTCCAATATCGTCTTAAACTGAGCCCATCTCATCGCGTCACGCTCATCCTCAGTGCGTAGATGCCAGTAATCCTCTCACCAGTCTCCGGCGGCTCCCTCTATCTGCAGTTCGGTGCATGCCATCTTGTGTGCCTCAGAAATCCCCATAATACGGAATATCCTCTCCATCTTCCGGATCCACTCGACCACAGCTAACGGGCCACTCTCCCTAGTGAAACGTGGCGGATCATACGTACAGAATCGACTGACCACGACAACCTGGTCCTGCTCAACCGATGTCTGGGGATCTCTACGCGGCGGCATTCTGAAGATCCAGGTATACTTGAATGGATCAGTGTAGCCAATTAAAAAATAGCCATACTAGACTTGAAATAATAAAATAAATAATAAATGTCCGAAAACACCTAGCTTGGCTAGAGTTCCGGTATACTTAAACTTTCTACGTTCTGGCTTGTAATGGAGTTCTGACTTAGTCTAGAGTCCTTGGACTTAGCTGTTCTAGAGTTATGTCTACAGTTCTGTCTCTAGAGTTATCTGTCATATAGGAGGATAGTTATCTAGGCCCCATACTTAAACTGAATTTAGCACTTGCAAAACATAAACTGAGTTAGGTGACTTACCTCGGAGTCGGTGCGGATGAGCGTGGTGTGGTCACGCTTTTCAAAACTTTGAAAGTATACAGAAACGCACTCTGCGCTCTGATACCACCTTCTGTCGCACCCCGCCTTACTAGCTTTGAAAAATCAGAGTAAAATTTTTGTTTTTATTTTCGAAAGGTTGTGCGAGCTTGGCTTTCGAAAATACTGACTCATTGCGGGATGCCACAGATAAAAACTTAACTTAACTTTCTCACAGACATAAATGAAACATGCAACCAAGCTATCCGATGCGGATAATGGAATTAAACATGCAATGTCTGAACTGTCTCAAGCTGTCTAGTATGTTAGCGGAAGCATCCGAAATACAGAATACATGCATACATAACTGAATCAAATACATGATCATAAACTAGGACATAAAAATGTGCGTAAAATATGCCCAACTCTCATGACCGTGCTTCGCCACAACTGTGCTCATCCGGCACGCTCGACTCCGTCTCCGGAAAAACACAATGGGGGCGTGAGCAAACCACTATGCTCCGCAAAGACCAGTACTGAATAAACCATCATCTATAATAACGTGTCATGAACATAAATATATAAGAGCTGAAACTGTAAACTTCTCTTTTCTTTCTTTACTGTGGTCAAAAGACCCTCGGCCCTTAGGTCGGCCGCTCGTGTGCACACACCGATGGGGTATTTAAGCCCTTAGGTCGGCCCCCCACCGGTCATCAGATGGGATATTTAACCCCTTAGGTCGGCCCCCACCTGGATACTAACTGTCTCAAACATACGTCTGCCATGGTACAGATATTATCTATGATGTGGAATCCAGTACATGACCCCCACCTAAAAACTTGGAATCTGATGCAAGTGTTGATACTGGGTAGCGGTCGGAGACTCGACTCTCCTTAGGCTACATAAATATTTAAGAAAAATAATGCTAAGTATAATGCTCGAATATTTAATTATATGCTAAAAATGCTCGGTTCTATCTGCTCAATTTAACTTGACTGGACTGGCTCAGAAAAATACTAAAATTCCGTAAATAGACTCGGACCGAAAGTCACGAATCGAAACGGACTCGAACCGCCGGTCGAACTGGCCGGTTCGTTGGCTGGCTGGACCGCCGGCTC